CCACCACCGCACAGCCGGCACTGTGGGAGCCGGGCGCATGGCTCCTGATGGCAGCTGCAAGGGATGCTGTGTGCCCCTTACAGCTGCCATCAGGCGCCCCCCCCTATCGGTTGGTGCCCCGGGGCAGCTGCCCAGCTCGCTCACCCCTCAGTCCGGCCCTGAGTAAATGTGGCATGGTATTATATTGTAATCTTTACTTCTGTGCTGTTACTCCTGGGGTGTTGCCTTCAGAGCTAAAAGCCCAACCAGCAGTTGCTGCTCTGTGACCACCAAGCTTTGAATACAGCGCAGAAGTAAAGATGGCAATACCTTGGTGCCCCGGGGCAGCTGCCCAGCTCGCTCACCCCTCAGTCCGGCCCTGAGTAAATGTGGCATGGTATTATATTGTAATCTTTACTTCTGTGCTGTTACTCCTGGGGTGTTGCCTTCAGAGCTAAAAGCCCAACCAGCAGTTGCTGCTCTGTGACCACCAAGCTTTGAATACAGCGCAGAAGTAAAGATGGCAATACCATGACACTGCCCCCTCCCAATAACCTTGTGTCCCCCCTCCCACTCCCCCCACAACTCTCTATTGAACATGATCCCCAATTGAAGAAATACTGGGTTCTCCCTTCCCTGTGAAATCTGTAACTAACCCGTTAAATTAATAATGCATGGTTAGTGCTGTAAGATTAGTATACTAACCCATTAAATTAATAATGCATGGTTAGTGCTGTAAGATTTATTAATCATCTAAATTTTAAATACAGAATTTTGCTTTTATGCTGTGTTTAGTTCAGGGGAAACTTGTATGGTGTCTTTTTTTCTCATTGTGTCAGGAAAAGAGTTCCGTTTTCTGTTGACAGAAATTAGAGATGCTGTCAAGCTAAACTTTGATCAAATTTAAGATATTCAAAAGCTCTGTGCTAGAGACACAGAGAGCTACTTTTACCATCACTACTGAATCTAAACTGTCCTCTTCAAGAACAAAATCAATCAATTCTAGAGTTGCTGCTGAAGTTTCAAGCTGCAAGCTGAAATTATGCCCCATTATTGCTACAAAATTCAATCAGGAAGGCTTTGGGCTCTGTTTGAACAGTGAGAAATAATTTCCTATGGGAAGCCAAGTTGTTGCCTTTTCACAAATGAGTGATTGTTTGGTCTGTTCTGGAAGTCATCTCTGATAGTGATAAGCAAGTCAATTGCCTGATCTTTAATTTTCTTGTTAGGGGAAAAATTAGTGGCAAAGGATTTTATGGGGAAGGGGCTGGCTTCTCTATTGTCATTCACATTTGATCCGTACTAACAGGGTGGCAAGTTAATATATGTTAAATATTAACTGTAAAAATTTCCAAATAAGTAAATGAAATAAAAGCAGATATACTAGTTCGTGACAACTTGGAAGTACAAAAGCTAACACTCTTTTTATCCCCCATAGGAAGGAGTACCAAATGCAGCTTTAAAAGAAAATCAGGATATTGCTAATGACCAAAGGATCAGCAACCCAGCTGCCTACATGTATGTGGAGTCTGGTGCTGTTTCAAGTTTGATATTTTCTTTTTTTAAATCAAAATCACAGAATATATTGCTTAAGACTCCTCTCACAATTCTATCTTCACATGAATTCTTATGCCTGTGGGGTTTTTTCCCTTCCTGAACTTTTACTACTTTATAGACTTAGACAGCTGATACGATTAAAGTTTCCATTTTGGATGTGTGCGCGCGCGCGCGCACACACACACACACACACACACACACACACACACACACACACACGTGATTGCATTTTGGAAGGTTACACTCTTACGTGCAGGTGTTTCTTGCATTCTGGTCACAGGGAAACATAGCCCAGTATGCTAGTGTAAGTAATCAGAATGTACTGTATCAGTTGGAGCACATTTAAATACTTGTCAGCCAAGAAGTTTTATAGTCAGGGGAGCTGGAAAAGAAAAGTAGTGGTATTTTGACCACAAACGAAGCTTCACCCACTTAAATGCCATTCACAGTGCGTTATGCAGATGTTCATAGGCTGATCATATATTCTCTGTTGAGCTTGGCTCCTTTTTGATGGGACTTAGGTTCCTCACTTGGCTAAATTTTGGATGGCTGTATTTCTATTGTCCCTTATAATGTGTGTTTATCCCCACACTGAAGCCTTAGAATTGTGCAGTGAACAGGATAAAAAGTATGCGATCAAGGTCTTACTAACGGCCACGACAAAATGAACACTAACTTCCATGGGAACAGTATTATTCACCAATAATCTCCTGGTACTGTTTGCAGGAGTAAGGCTGTTCATCCATATATCCTGGCTGAACTGCTGTTTCAGACATTGCACACTGCTTACCTGAAGTCTTCTTGCCATTTCTAATGGAGAAGATAGTCTTTCCTTTGTGTCCTATACTACAGAAATTAAACTTTAAACCTCTTCTGTTTTCCACTACAAAGCTAACTACATTTCAGTAATGCATAATATGATCTTTATATAGCCTGTCACAAAATCTGGAGAATATGAACATATGTGAATAGCTAGACACACATTCCCATGCCACAAGGAATGGAAGGTTGTTATATCACAGGAAAGTTAATTTCCATATTGTTTGTAGTGAGGTCTCTGATTTGATGTCATGAATAATCTGATTTAAGCACTTTATGGGGGGTAGAATGCTGCAGACTTTATTAGCTCAAAAATAAGGACATTTTAATTAATGTCATTTTATTGGGATTTTTGGGGTGGAAGGGATTGTTTTATAGAGAGGTGAACATTTGCATGTTTAATGGAAAACAGCCATTTTGTGAAGACATCCATCATTGGAAAGCAACACCTTTGGTTCCACAAAATGATCCATAATATATTTGTGAATATTTTAAATATTAGATTTTTACTTTTTGCATAGACCTTCCCAGTTAACTGGTTAAATGCATCATCCCTTTCATTGTGAGGGCTTGTTGAAGTGGTACTCGAAGTAAGCACAGCAGTCATGGTCATGGAGCCAGGTCATGGGCTGCTATTATTTAGTAAGACTCATTAATTTAGGTGTCCAACCTGAGACACCTTAATGGGGCATGACTTTCAGAGGGCTGGGCCTCAACAATCTCTGAAAATGTTGTCCCTATAAGGTGTCTGAAGTTGGGCATCCAGAATCACTAGTCCCATCTGAAAATCTTGGCATTCAGTTAGACCAATGATAGACTGTAAAACTAATGTGTAATCACCTGTACTAATAGCACGTTTGATCAAAGCAGGAGCGGATCTGTGGATGAACCAAAGAATTTGGAATCTGAAGAGTTCACTGTTCGCCAACTTCTTTGTTGCCTTAGAAATGAAACTCAGATGAGAGAGAACCTTGAAAAGGAACTTCAAGTACACAAGGACAGGTATAAAATAAATGGACAAAATATGTTGAATTGAAACCATAACACTTTTATTTTAGCTGTGAGAGGCGCAAATCACAGTTTGTTTTCTATCATGCAGCAGTTCAGGATCCTTTTCCTGTTGCCTCCTCTGGACCTGCAGTTTCCTAAAATTGAAGTGAAATGGTGTGATGGATATTTGAGAGCATTTTAATCCATGTATTGCTCACACACTGTTTTTTGCCGTTTTCCAATGAAATATCATGGTGTGATGTCCTTTCTATGGGACCTTGGGCAAGTCAGATATTATAAAGTGTAAATAATACTTCATCGGGCTTTAATTCTTTAATGTTTTAAAAAACTCCTTAGAAATGTTTGAGAGATTTAATTCCAGATATCTAAAGTTAATATCCCATCTGAGACTTGCATAAGCTCAGTCTCATTGGTGTAAATTTGAAGCAACTGTTCAAATTAATGGAATTTCACTAGTGTGTCTAGAAACTGCTTCACAGGTGGACAGTATGAGATCTGTTTGGAGTAGACACTAAACCTGGGCAAATCAGTCATGTAATAGTTCTAAACGGTCTTCTTAGGGTGGGAACAAGCTTTGCCAATAGCCAAATGACTTTCTGGTTATGTCTCTACTGCAATTAAACACTATGCAATTAAACACCTGCAGCCTGAGCCCAAATATCTGCACCACAATTACACAGATCTATGGCCAGAGTCCCTCAGGCTGGCATGAGCCAAGGGTATTTAATTGTAATGGAGACATGTCCTCAGAGTACATCAACCCTGCAATGTAGGGTTTTGTGTAGTGTTAGTAAGCGTACTTATGCAAGCATTAATCTGGCTAGCATAGGTAACAATCACAGTGAAGACACAGGTTTCAGCATAGACCAGCTGTCCCAGTGATGCCTGCCTGGAACAGGGGGTATGTACTCAAGTTGTTAGCCCACACTGGAGTCCATACTGAAGCTATAATGGGTGTACCATCTCACAATATAATTTTTCCTTGTGGTAATGATGTATCAAAGTGTGAAATTCTCCTTACCAAAGGAAAAATGGATTCAGAATTGGTATTTCTAATTGTATTCCCAACTTCCAAGAGAAGCAAGGGGACAGATGAGTCCATACCCAGAGAAAAAGATTTTAGGAAAGTAGCTTTCATGTGCACTGTGACATGATCACTATGAACAATTGCTACTACAGCTAAATCCCACTTCATTCCTGAACCAATAAAATAAATGTGTATGTCTTTATAAATAAAATGGAATAAAGGCAAAGTATGTGAGTAAATCCCCCAAAAAATCAGCTTCAGGACATATCTCCATATTTGACTGTGGACTTATTTTTAAATATTCTCACTTGCATGGGAAATATTAAAAGTTAGAGTAACATATATAGCAATAGCATATGATCCTTGTATGTCCTCACCTTTTAAAATGCTCGTTATTTCATACTGAATGTGTATTGAAACCATCATCATTGGCTCCTGACATTTCTCAGGCTGTCAACGCTGGAGAAGAAATTGGCTGATTATGTAGAGAGTGGAACGCAAACGGAATGGGAAAAAGAAGAGGATGAAAGTGCAAAGACAGTATGTACCAGTTTTCTGGGGACACAATTTTGAGTAACTACAAAGAACTTGTGGGGGAAGACAAGATTAGTGTTAAGGATACATGGGTTCTCCCATGCTTTGGAGCTGGGGGGGGGGAGGAGCTGGGGTGGGTTCTCCCGGTGCCACTTTGGGCTAGGGGGCTAAGATGGGTCAGGTCTAGGCCTGTGGTTGCAGTGGCTACACTCTTGGCTCCAGGGGGAGGGGAGGGAAGGGAAGGGGTGACGTGGAGTTGGAGGCTAGCTTCCCCCAGGCAACAGTTCATGCCCAGCCCATGATCCAGCCCTTTGGCTGCACCTGAGGAACTTGAGCAAAGTTCAAGAAGAAGATACAAAGGTGAATTCCATGCTCCTGGACTGGTTCTCCTGGAGGTTGCTCTAATTTACACAAACTACCAATAGCTCCCAGGTGCATTTCCAGCAGCTGGCATCCCACTCATGCCCAGCTGCTTTGACCATGCACTCTAAAGAGGACATGGAGTGACATAGGAGCATTTATGCCCACAAAGGACCTCTCTAATTTGGATTAATCTCCAAGGTCTGAGTCTACAATCCACTTGCGATGTAATGTAAAAGACAAATCCTAACTCACAGTTGGGCAATAAGACAGCAGTGGTTCTCCAGGGTTAGCCCCTGGTGCGCTATTGCTGCTTCATTTATCTGCGCCCTCTGCAGATACAGGTGCTTGCAGCTCCCATTGGTACGGATCATGACACCACTTCCCGCAGCTCCCATTGGCTGGGGATGGCAATCTGCAGCCAATGGGAGCTTGCAAGCATCTATACCTGCAAAGACACAGGTAACTACAGTGGTGGTGACCTGCCTGGAGCTAACCCTGGCAAACTGGATCTCGCCCATGAGCAGGTATTTGCCTGCCACTGCTCTTGCTGCAAAGCTCGGGCCTGAATCCATGTTTGGATAGGGGCTATTTTTCTCCTAGCCATTAATGTATATTTTCTCTAGTTTTGCTATGGAAGAGCACAACTACCTTAGACATAGGTGGGTCCTAATCCTTTGAATTAAGGCCTTGAACTGACAGTGGTAGCCAATAAAGGAGAAAGTATGCTCACAATGGGTGGCAGTTGTATTCTGCGTCAGCTAGTGTCTCTATTGCTCGAATGGTTAGCCTCAAGTATAGTGAATTATAGTAATTAAGTCTGAAGGCAACAAACGTGATTATTGGGACTGTATCTTCAAGGAAGAAGGGAAAGTGGATTTTATCAGCTAAAAGGTAGAAGAAGGTGGTGTTGTGTTTTGGTATCTGTCATGGACCTCATTAAGGTTAGGGAAGTCCCAGCTAAACTATCTTTCTACACTAGGCTGATGAACAGAATGGGAGATGTTTTCTCATTTATATGAGAGGAAGGAGATGTCCTAACAAATTCCTTCAAATATTTTTATCTTGTGACCACTTGTCTTGCTTGTGTTCAGACTGAGACAGATACCATTAATCCAGATGTAGGCATTGTGACATACTTATGATGGTGCTGGCTGCATCTATGAAAACATGAAGTGTACAGCTGGGTTTCCTCAGTGTATTGTTGGCAGCAGAGTTCATGTTGTTTCACCAGCTCCGTAAGCAGCTTCTCGTTGATGCTGATGTTTTAGGGGACCACAAGAGCAGGATGAATCTTTTGAAGACCATGCAGGTAAGAGTACTGATGGATGTGTGAGGAAAGTTTATAGCTGTTTCAGTGGCGTACCCTCTGCTTCAGCTGTCCTGATCGCGGCTTGGAGATGGCCATCATCCATTGTTAGGAGAGCAGTCTTAAAGGGCCACTAGGGTTGTGGCTGAGCTGTCCCCTGGTCTTGAAGTTTCCAGGAAGTTGAGACATCATATGATGCTAGAGTTTGTGTCATTGCTTGTCTGTTCAGAGGCAAGGTGATGGTTGGAGAGAGAGTCTGCGCTATTTTTTTTTTTTTTTTAAGAAAAAATGTTTAAGTGTTGGTGTTTTGTTGAGGATTGGGGGCTGTTGCATTTTTCAGTGAGGATGTCAGAGCTGCTTCTCAGAAGACTCTGCTGATTGTGCCCAGTGCTAATGGGAGCACTTGATCTTCAGTAATGTTCACCAGTGACTCAACATAATGCTCAAATGTTTCCAAGGGCTCCTGGAACTTTATTGTGCATGAATTAAGGCCAAACTCTTTTCCAAGGAGAGCGGTTTATACTGGCTGGGCAGCTGTTTTGCTGCCATGGCAAGTTCCTCTAGTATTTTATTTTCTGCAAATTAAAAAGAAAGCACTTTATAGTGGCTGGGGCTGTGGTCTGTGAGCTGTTTTGCAGCTGTGATGGAAGAAGGATAGAATATTCTCTCTACTTTTGATATGGAGGTGGAATTGTGCTGCTCATGTATGGATTTGGAGTGGGTCTTATACCACCTGCATGCTGGCCTTTTGCTTCATCTGATGTAGCTTGTGAATCATCATGGTTTCAGGAGGAAATAGGAATCAGTAGCAGTCATCAGTAGATTTTGGTATTCTATTAGCTTGTCAATACCTTGTATGACATGAGAGCCTTTTAAGATGGCTGAAAACTTAGAGGTGTCTACTCCCAGAATGAAGATCCAATCCAGGATGTGCCAGGCTGGCTGCATGGCATGGGAGTAAGTTAGTTTGAATCTCATAGTTTCCATGCACCTGATGCTATATGATATCATGATGTGTTAGTGTTTGTGGAAGTCACTCATTAGAGACAATGAAATCGGGTCTTTCTAATCACCATACTAGGGAGCAGGTCCAATTGCTCCTCCAGGAAATCTGCAGAGTCTGTGTTCAGAAATCTGCAGGCCAGCAAGAGTCCTAGACTTCTCTTGTCCTTAGTTCAGAGACCACATGGAACATTTCTGAGGATTTGAATTCTGGACTGGCTTTGGCTTCTTAAGTTGGAATTGAACGTAAGCACTTGAAGCTCTTTCCTTCATCGTCTTCTAGGATTTTGCTCAATTTATGTTGAGTAGTGTGTGGGAATGAGCTATGTATGAGTAGGTGGATATGGATTTAAAGCAGGTATTGGTACGAATCTTGTCCAAATGCAGATCCTGAGAAGTGCTAGTTTTGTTTGTGACTGACCCATGGATACATCAGCATGAGTTTGAAGATGCTATCTTCTAATGCCAGGCACTGAATTTGGCTTCCAATAATATGGACAGCTGACTAATTCAAGTCTTTATTTTGTTTTAATTACATAATATTGTTTCATTTTTGCATATGCATTTTCTTTAAAAAAAATTGGAGTAAGTAAATAGTTTCTCATTAACTTCAGAAATATTTTATGTCTAACTAATTTACATGTGGCTTGAAGCCACAATGAGAGAGCCTTGAGGCAGAGACTCTCATGGTGGGGATAATCTGGTACAGATGTATGCAGTTTTGCTAGAAATCCTTTTCCTTCTCTGGGTAATGAACATAATATACCAACACAACCATATTGGTTCAGAGTCAGGCCAATGGTCCATCTAGCCCAGTATTCGTTCTTCCAAAAGCGATCTTCAGTTTGATCTTGCAAAGGTGCTAGAGCCCTGCATGGGCCTTGTTTTTAATTCTGCTCCTCTCCTGCCCCACAATACCTACTCCCACCCACTCCTGCATTGTTTCCTGCATTTTTATCCTGCACCCACCCACAAAAGCCTTGGATCCTGCAAAAGTGAGAGAGTCCCCCCCATGCTACTAAAAATAAAAAGCCTTTATGTATTTTATTATACAGAATTCAGTCGATTTTTACCACTAAAACAATGAAACAGATCTTTCATGCACCATGTAAAATATTTTAATTCTTGTTATAATAGAAATAAAATATTTTTCTTGCTTGAATTATTACAATTTTTATTTAAAAAAGCAAAACTTGCTTTATATTGCTTTAATTCTGTGTGTGACAAACTGAGGGGAAAATTAGTGTTTGCTCACAAATTACTATAGTCTGTTGGGGTTTTTTATGTTTTTTGTGTTTTTTGTGTTTTTTTTTTTTTGGCCCACCTAATCCTACCTGCAGTCTATTTTACCAGCTCTCACTGTTACAACAGTGGGTCCTGCGGAATCCCAGTCCCACTATACGGCTCTACCACACACTTCAGAGGGAATGAACAGAACAGGCAAATAGTGAGCGCTCCATCCCCCTGTTGCCTCTTAGCTTCTAGAAATCAGAGGCTAGAGATATCCAGAGCATAGTGTTACATCTCTGACTATTTTGGCTAATAGTCATTGATGGACCTGTCCAGGGCTGCTGACTGGAGAAGGGGAGGGACACACATACAAGGGCCTGGTGATTAAAAGGGCCTGGAGCTCCCTGCTGCTACTGCTATGGCAGCAGCCAGCACCTTAGGCCCTTTGAGTTGCCGCCAGAGCCATGCGCAGTGCTGTCTGGGTGTTGCTCAGGTGGGGAGAGTCATGGTGCAATCTGGGCAGCACTGAAGGCTGACTGCTCTTAGCCCAGCCCTTTCTGCCCTTAGCCCCATTGCGTCCAGGGGACCCGGAGCCAGACCCCCACACACACATTGCCCAGGGCCTAATGATGCTTGTCTGGCAATGAGTTCCATGGGTTGACTAGCGTTGTGTGAAGAAATACTTCCTTTTGTTTATTTTAAACCTGCTGCTTATTAATTTCTCTGTATGAACCCAGCCTGGTTCTTGAGTTATGTGAGGGAGTAAATAAACATGTTCTTATCATGCTGCTCATCTCAGAGGAATCCAGAAATAAATAGTAACTTCATTCCATTCATCCCTGTAAATTTCAGAGTTGAAGGCTTCCCTGTCATGATACAAAGATGTGCTGTACAAGTAGGGATGTCAACATGTAGACGACTCTACAATTAACCGATCAGCCTGGGTTTATCCGTTAATCCTGTCAAATACATGTACTCCCTCCCCCTTGCTGCGGGAAGGATGGGAGCAGGGATGGGGGCAGGCGGGAGCCAGTACTCAGAGGCAGCGGCACAGGATAGCAGGTGGGAGCTGGTCTGCACGGGGAGCCAGTTTTTAAATCGGCTCCCCTTGTGGACTGACTCATGAAACCTTATGCTCTAATAAATTTGTTAGTCTTTAAGGTGGCACTAGTCTCTTTATTGTTTACACCATTGGACTTATTAGAATCATAGGGCTGGAAGAGACCGCAGGAGGTCGAGTATTGTCCAGTTCTCTCCCCCCTCCCAATTTTAAAGGTTAGAGTGCCCAAAATTGTAGCTTTGTTTTCTTTAGGAATGCTGAGTAATTTTATATTAATCTTACAGTTCAGCACAGTTTACTGATGCTGAATGATTTGTGCTATTTTCTTGAGAAAGAGAATGGTTATTGCTAGGGATGTAAAAGGTTAACCAGTTACCCAGTAAGCATAAGGCTTACCAGAATGCTTACTGTGTAACCGGTTAACCAGGCTGCCAGCTGCATCAGACCATAGCAGCCTCAGCTGTTTGGGACTGCCGGTGAGACCCTGGTCATGTCAAGGTGGCAAGTGGGGCCACGTGGTGGGAAGGCAGGACCTCAGCTGCACTGAAGTGGCCCTAGCAGGTGGGCAAGACCCCAGCCCAGGCCACGTGAGAGCAGCCCCAGCGAACAGGCAGGAACATGGATACACATGCAGGACCCCAGTCACATTCGTGCTGGAGCACCCCAGTGGGAACCTCATTGCACCGGAGAAGCCCCATTGGGGAGGCGGAACGCTGGCCATGCTGGAGAGGGTGGGCAGGATCCTGGGCACTCTGGAGTGGCCCCATTGGGCATGCTGGCCTGGAGCAGCACCCACCATGCTTGTCTCTAAAAGCCCAGTGGGATCACAGCCCAGATGAGACTCCTCGCACAGGCTGCCCTCTGTTGGCCCACCAACAGTTAACCAGGTAAATGATATAGTTGTAATAGTTTAACTGCCTAACTGTTTGGAGCGTTATTTACATGCCTAGTTGTTGCCTGATATCTCTGTTTGTTTGCAATGTTTAGATCTTGAATTGCCTGAGTATAATTTTCTTCTTTCTAACAGGTTGGTAGTGAAATAGAAGCACTGAATCTGCAGGTGTCATCCCTCTTCAAAGAGCTTCAGGAGGCCCATGCTAAATTAAAAGAAGCTGAGCTGATCCAGAGGAGGCTTCATGAAAAGTAAGGTCCAGAAAAGCAAATGTTGATTGTGCTGATGATAATCTTTAGCCCTTGTCTACACTTCGCAGTGGATCGACACTAAAGCAATCAATCCACCAGCCATTGATTTATCATATCTGTTGAAGATGTGATAAATCGATCTCCGAGAGCACTCCCGTCGACACTGGTACTCCGTCGAGAAGAGTAACCAGCATCGACGGAAGAGCTGCCCCTGTCAACTTTGCTGCGCGCAAGGTGGCATGGCGAGAGTGTTGATTTCAGCTACTCTATTTGCATATACACTATTTGCTTAATATTTCAGCTATTTGCGTAGCTGAAGTAGATAAATAGTGCAGGTAAGTGTAAATAAGGGCTTAATGTTCATAGCCCCTGCCATCTAGGGAGCTTAGCAAGCTTTACAAATGCTAACTAGTGCAGAGAAACCTATGACAAGCACTATATTAGAGCTAAGTATTTCTTAATTATTGACTAAACCTTTTGATACTTCTGAGAAGAGGTATATATTAATCTCATTTTACAGGTGAGGAACAGAGGCCCAGATCTCTGAAAGTATTTAGGCACCTGACTACCATTTATTCCAGTGGGAGCTAGGTGCCTAAAATACCTTTGAGGGTCTAAGCCTCTGGCTTTTGCAAGATCTAAGATGTCACTGGACATTAAGGAGCCTTAGAAATAGACCACAAGAATCCTGGTTTTTCAGATTGAGAATTTAATCCTTCATGATGTAAAAGGGATAAGGGATATTTTAAAAACAAGTGAAATCCTTTA